CCCCTTTGGACCCTTTCTTTCTATTTTACATTATCAATTATTCATTCTAATCATTGGTACATTTTAGGTATACAATATAATGACATTCGAATCTATAAAGAACTTAAAAAGATCAGACCTCCCAAATTTAAAGACCCAATCCGAAAATGGGCATCTGAAATGAACAGACATTTCTCACACAAAGAAGTAGAAATAGCAATACATGAAAAAATGTTCAACATCACTGGTCATTCGAGAGATGCAAATGAAAACAACGCTGAGATTCCACCTCACTCCAGAAAGAATGGCTGCTATCATGAAATCAACCAATAACAAATGCTGGCGGGGCTGTGGGGAAAGAGGAACCCTGCTCCACTGCTGGTGGGAGTGTAGACTGGTGCAACCACTGTGGAAATCAGTATGGAGATACCTCAAAGAACTAGGACTGGAAGTCCCATTTGACCCCGCTATTCCACTGCTGGGGATCTTCCCCATAGCCTAGGTTTCTTTACCTGAAAAATGGGAAATAACATTAGTTCCCACTTCGTAATTTTTGCAGCAGAAATGGAAGACAATGTAAGTGCTTACCACAGTACATTGCATAAGAAGTTCCATAATATGCATTCAATAAAATACTATGCTTCATCGTTGCTTCATTGATGTTGGATAAACGTCAATAGCCATTGTTGAGGAGCTCCCTGATTAAGTAGAGAGACATTTAAACAGTATTTCCTGACCAACTTGATATGAGCATTAGGAAAACCTGGGAAAGGCATGACCCTTGGAGGGGCCTGGGAAGGCCACCTTTGAGCTGGTGACTATGTGGAGAGCAGAGCTTCACCAGGCGAAGTGGTAAGCATGGTGGTGCACAAAGGTGTAACAACAAGGCGTGTTGGGGGGCGGGGCGCTGAGGCTCTGGAGAGGCGAGCGTTATAGCCGGAGAGAAAGAGAGAGAAACGGTGAAAGTGAAGAGGAAGCCAGCAGCAGGAATTTAGAGGCTTTTTGGTAGCAGTGAACAGAGAGAGGCTAGAAGATCGCGAGGTGGCGCTGTGGCTCCACCTTAGTGGGAGGCTGGCAGCTGCAGCTCCCCCTCGCCCTCAGAGGGGCCTACGAGAAGAGGGCAGCAGGGACTTAGTAGCTTTGGCACTGTCTTCACCGGAGCCACCAAATAAGGACGGTGGCAAAGAGAATGCGTACATAAGCAAATTACCTGGAAGCGGCCTCTCTTAGGACACATGGAGTCAGTAATCAGAAAGCGTCCTCCGGGAAAGATTAAGAGTTCGGAACTGTCCAGCAGGGACCATTCCGATCTCAGGCCACATTGTGAGGGGGCCTGCAGCGGAATCGGCCTCTCGAGCCAGGAGCTGATCTGGCGTTGGCAGGCGGCCTCTGGGCGTGCCCCGCGCCCCTTTCTCCCAGAGGGCCCTAGCCGAGGGACCAGTAGTCTTTCGACGCCTGCCGCTGGCTCCACAGTCTGCGTCCAGCCTGCTACTTTCCCCTTGCTGAACCTAGATGTTTTACAACTTCTTTGACACATTTCACCCACACATATGTACGCGTGAACCACGTGTGAGCTCAGGCTCTCGCCTGCGTGCAGGATGCTCTTGCATAATACAGTCAAACTTTTGCACGTGTACACTTCAATCACATGAACCGCGCGTTTTGACGTGTGCCACATGCATATACTGTCCACATGGGCACACGTTTACTCTTGCCTGCGCGCGCCACTGCTTCATCAAACACTCGCGCACACGCACAGCCGGGTGCACGCTGTCGCTTCGCCGCACAAACACGGATTGTACGGGCCCCCAAATATGCAGCCACCCTTCCTTCACGCAGATCTGCACGCTCCCATTTATGCATCTCCCAAACAAAGGTAGCAAAACAAGGACCTCGCTGTGCAAAGCTGTGAGTAAATGTCCTGCAAATTGCGCCTCAGAGCCCAAGCTAGTCTACTAAACTCGCTCTCCCTTTTTCAACTTTCCCCTAAGTAAACAGGCCTTCTTTTTATCCTGCAAATCTCAGGCCCAAATTTCTTCCACCTGAGTTTGAGCTGTTTAAAGGACTCTAATTTCCAAACAGTTGGAGAGCTCTTTTCACCGACCTGGAACGTTCTGTCCTGTCGAGGAGCAGAGGTGGAGTGTGGAGTGGAGGTGGGGGAATCTCACAGTCTAGGGGACTTGGGGAGGGCAGGGTGTGGTCGTACTCTGGGGCAGCCTTGCACCTAGAGATCCTATCCGTGTCCGCAGCCTTATTTTCCTGACTCAGAACCATAGGAGCTTTTAGCTATTTAGGGACTCGCCAAGGCAGAAATCTGCTCCCAGCTGAAGCGTCTTCGCAGGTGTTCACATTCCCTTCCCAGATGGGTGTTGCGGATAAACCCACAGATCTGTATTCAGCGTGTTTCCCCTGGCAAGTTTGCGCGAGTGAGAGCCAAGACTTCAGCTAGAACCGGAAGAAAGGGTGACTGCAGGTCGCACAGTCAGTGTGACAGCCGGGGCTGGAGCCTGCGCGCCCCTGCTGTGCCCCGTCCCCGGCGGGTGGGGACCGACCGAAGCTCGTTGGCGTGTGAGTGCCTGAATGCGCATTCAGTCCGCGCCTCCGTCAAGACTTTCGGAGTCTCCCCCTCCCTTGCTCACCTCCGCTGCTTTGCCCTCCGGAAGCGACTCGCGCCCTTTGGGACAAAGAGCTCGGATCGGGGGCTGGAGAGCCCGGGGACCAGTCAGCGCTCCAGGGTAGGAGATCCCGCTGCCGGGTGGACGGTTTGGCTCCAAGGTTAAGGGCACGGGGCCTGGAGAAAGTCTGGTTTGGTAACTTTGCTCGCGGTGTGGCCGTGGACAAGTTTTGTTTCACTTCCCTCCCGGGTCCTCAGTTTCCTCACCTGTGAAAAGGGAGTGACCTTACCTGCCTTTTTGGTCTGTGGTGGAAATTCAGCGAGTTCATGACCGTAAAGCCTTCAACCAATGGGATCTATTATTATCTGGGACCGCCCCGGGGGAAACCCGAGGGCCCACAGGCCGGGTCCGGGAAAGATCTGTCGGAACCACTCCCCCAGGCTCGGGGTCGGAAGCCGACTGAGCTCTCCCTCATGCCCGCCCCCCCATCCCTCCGGGGCTATTTGCTCCGTCTCCACCTCCTCTCTGTGGGCGTCTTGGTCCTCTAGGCCTCAGTTTCCCTGTTTGGACTATGGGGTAGGAGCACTCACAGGGACTGGGAGTGACCCTCAGACTAGGGGAGAAAGGGGGCCTTCGCCTGACGCCCGGGACGGACCAGGATCCGAGTCGGAGTTTCGGGCGGAATTGTGCCCCGCTGCGCCCACGCATTCCCGAGCGTGGCGGGTGGAGGTCGCGGAGGGAAACCGTCGGGCTCTTGCGGCCGGTGGGGCCGGGGCTCGGCTCCGCTCCCTCTAAGAGCTGCACGCCCCGCTTTCCCCGGGAGCCCCGCGCCCCCTCGGGCAGCGTCTGGGCTGCGGCCACCCCTGTCCCGCCTCCGAGTCCAGGCCGGGGGTTCAGCCCTCTCCAAGCAGACTGCTGGTGAGGGACAGGGCGCCTTTGGGCTTTGTCGCCTCACCCCCTCCTCCCCCGACTTCCGAGCACTGAAGGGAGGCGTCGGTCCTGCCTCGCTCGGCCAATTCCGGGAGTGGCAAAGGTGAGGAGCATTTTCCTGGCCCCTGCGCCCTTGTGCGGCGCGCACTCACGGAGGGCGCGGAGCGACGGGGAATTTCCAAGGACCAGTCCTGAGACTCGCCTCGTGGGGGCGGACGAGCCGAGCCGATTCCCTCTCTCCCCCTTTCCCCGGCATCTAGTTCGGTTGTATTTCCTGGGTCTTTTTTCTCTTTGGGGGAAGTGAAGGGGCGGGTGTGTTTCTACCTGCGCGCCTAGAAATTATTGTGGCGATTGATGCCCTTCAGGAAAGGGAATCGATTTCCTTGTGCCTGGAGAAGCCTGAGAGAGCGAAGGGGGAGAAGTTTGGTGTGGGGTTTGGAAGGGAGGGGTTGCTCTCCGGCCTGAGCTCCCTCCGACGCTACAGACCCTGTGAACTGGGCAGCCCCGGAGTTAGGAGCAGTCGAGGGCCTTCGGAAACTGACCCAGTCGCCCAAACTCGGAGCTCAGCGGGGAGACCCGAAGCCAGGAGAACCACTAGTCCTCTCCAATGGCTCCGTCCAGATCAAGCTGGTGCTGCGTTTTTAACTCGTGCATAGGTTCTTTTCTCCTTCCTCCTTCCCGCTTTTATATATGATCAAGAGTGTCCAAATATCTTTAAATATTGTGTAAATTCCCAGGCTAACACCAGAGGCAGATCCAGACAGGGCCCGGAAATGTGCATTTCCAAGAAGCCTCCCCCACACACCTTGCTTCCCTTCCCCTTGTGAGTCCAGTTTATAAACTACACTGCAGCCAAGCACAGCTAGGCTCCCAAGGCCTAAGCAAGGCTAAACACACAAGCACAGTGCATCTCTTTCACAGGAGATGTGCACTTCAGTCGCCCCTCTTCGCTCATGCTTTATCCTGAGAAGTGATGCTAACCTACACGAGGAGAAGATTCAAAAGTACTTAAGAGATTCTTTTCCAAAAAGTTTAGAAATTGCAATTCAATTTTAATTCAGATATTCAGTTTAACATTGCTGGTTTAATATTCACCAGAGAATATCCATGAAAAGCTATTACTCTGCTGGCTTAGGTGTCATTACCAGTTTTCTGTCACTTGCTATGTCTCTTTTCCACTTTCTCTTTAGACTCTGTCCAACTTAAACATTTATTACAGGATGTGAACACCAGGTTGAAAGCACAAGGACACTCGAAGAAAAGCTCTGACTACACGCTGCTCCATTAAACCCAGGTGGCTGCTGCCTCTGCACAGCCAGAGGGAATTAGTCTTATCAAAACACTCCTGCCCCCTTTTATTTCTCTTCCTTTTCCTGGACTGTCTGATGTGGAAATTGTCTCTCTCATGTCTATTTCCTAGAGAGATTGGCTCTGGGGCAGGAATTGGGCTGCTAAAGTTTTCTTTCTCTATGTCAATCTCTCACTTGGGATAGTCAGCTTCAGGTGCCTCAACAAATACACCCTTTGCATATGTATCTAGATTCTGCTTGGCCCCCAGATATTTGTTGTGTGTCCCCTGGTCATTCTGCTCCTTCCAGCAGCTGTGTCTCCTTTCTTTGGTACCTTCTGCAGAATCTGTTCCCTCACTGTGTGTTTCTCAGGAGTGGAGCTGTCCCCCACCACATCCACTTGGAGTCCTGCAGACTGTTGACTGCAAAGTAGAATGGAGCCTGAAGTGGTTGATGAGAGGAAGGCTTGCATCTTACGCTGAGGCTCTCTGGGACTCAGTGGTGGGAAAGTGGCCCCTGCTTCCAGGTCTTCTCACTTGAAGGGTGCCCTCTTCGGAAGGGAATTATCTCTGGAGAGTCCTTGGCCGTGGGGCTTTAGGGTAAACTTGGAGCTTTGGGAAGCCTTTAGCAGGCCTAGTTCAATTGTGCCTTTAAATTCGATAAAGCTCTACATTTTCTTCCCTTTCCCCACAAGCCTACAGCCCTTCTAGTCTCTCCACCCTCATAGATCTCCTGAGTGCCTGGTGTATACCAGGAATTCTGGTAGAGGCTATGGGGAACCTGAAGAATCAGACCAATTTCTTCAGGGGCTTCTTGGAGGAGATGGCATTAATTCTGGCACCAGGGAGAGAGTCCTCAGCACAAGAGATGAAGAATAAACGGTATGAGAGCTGGGTGAAGCAAGCTTTGAGGACACTGGGTCCTGTAGGCCTGGAACACACGCTTTCTTCCATCCAGTTCAGGAATCAGGAAGTGGCTCTACTTTCCTGCTCTGCCAGGAACAGGAAGCCTGACTCTTCCCTGTCTTCTACCATTCCGTATGGGCACGTGTACTTTTCCATCACTGACTCCAGGACCTTCCTAAATCAAACGGCCAATGACAGCCAGAGAAAGGGACCTGGATTTCTCAGAGCATTTCCCCAAAGGGGTCCTTAGCAGATTTGGCTGCAGTCAGGGAGTTCCTTTGAGGACAATGAAACAGAAGTTCACCGCGTGCTTATTAGAGGTTATAACCTGCTAAAAAAAATGATGGGGCACATTACCAGAAAAATCTAGCTATTTCCTTTGCCAGCCACAAGTATACATGCCAAAAGGCCTGGGGTAGAAGACAGTTTTTTCTTTCCTTTCTTCCTTTACTCTTTTCCCTTCCTTTCACTTCCTCTTTCCCATCCTTCTTCCTTCTCTTCTCTCCCTCCCTCTTTTCCTTTGGGGAAAGGACAGAAGTTGGAGAAGTTATTTTCCACCCCTCCCAACCCTGTACCAAATAACCACCTAATCAGAAATAGTATACGTTGTCGCTTTGGTAGTTACTCTAAGAAAAAAAATACTACTTTGGGCGGGGGTTATACCTGAGACAATATTTAAAAACGCACCCTGACCCAGTCCCATTGAGACCACGCCTTCCACCCTTCCCTCATCCCCAAGGCTGCCTGGGAGAAGTGAGCTGTTAAGAAGAGTGCCTAACCCAGCGGCCTCTAGGTTACCGCGGAGAGAGAAGCGCCTTGGAGGCCGGGCAGGGACAGAGCCCCGACTAGCTGGGACCCACACAGCCTCGCCTGCGGGAGCCGACTCCCCCCGGTCTCCCAGAGCAGAGCCCCTCCGCGAGCGCCCAGCCCCGACCTCGCGCACCCATATTCCACCCCACCACCCCTCCTCAGAGCGAAGAGGTGGGCACCTGGGACGCGCGTCCTGATTTTCTGCCTGGGCTCTCCCGTCTCCTCCACTTTTGCCCCGGCGTCCCAGGACGACGGAGCCGGACGTGGCATCAGCCCTGGGACGACAAAGCCTGTGCGCCTTGAGGGCGCAGCAAGAACGCTAAAGGACAGCCATAGCCGGGGTGCAGATCTCCAGCTCAGATCCCGGGGAGGGATACCGCCCCCCTTCCCTCCGTCCCTTTCCCGCCCGGCTCGGCCCCTCTCTCTCTCCTCTCTCTCCGCCCGAGCTCAGCCGTCAGTGCTCCGCGCTCCCTCACTCGCCACTTAGCGAGTTACTTTGGCCGGCGTTCCTGCGCCACCGGGAGAAGGATGTTAATGAGGGAGCGTGGCCTGGCGCCGAGAGCCAGGAGGCTCCTGGGCTGCGATTGGCCGAGGCGAGGCGGAAGGATGACGTTTGCAAAGGAGGGCGGGGCCACGGGGCGCGGGCCCCGCCTCCTCCCATTGGGGTTAGTGTGCTTGTGTTTAGCTCTGGGGAGAGTCAAACTGGATTCCATAGGGAAAGCCTGCAAATCACTTCTATTTTAGCAAGGAGAAAACAGAATCTCCATCCAGCAGGGTCCACCCCTCTATCTCTCTCCCTCTCCTCTCTCTTTCTCTCTTTCCCTCCCCCCCTTTCCTCTTTCCCCCTCTTCCCTCTCCCCCACCCTCTCTGGTGTATCCGTCTACGGCAGCCAGCGTCCTCCTCATCTATACGCACTGAAAGGAAAGAAACATCTTTGGTTGGGAGAGGAGGAAAAAAAAAGAAAAAAAAACTTGCCTGGTTGTGGAAAATGACACTTGAAGTAGCAAAGCCGGCAGCGCGAGTTGAGTCTATTGTTTCTTAAATTGCCATCAAGATTTTTTTTGTGTGTGTTGTTTTTTGTTTTGTTTTTTCCTTCCTGCTTCTTCAAGTAAAGGGTACCTCTACAAAAGGAAACTTCAGCCCCTCCTGTCCTCCACCGGCCTGTGATCACTACAAGAAAAAAAAAAAAAGCAAAGCAAAAAAAAAAAGCACCCAAACCAAAAATCAACCAACCAAACAACCCCCAACAGCCAAGCATACATCTGTAATTTTTTAATTTTAGTCTTTTCGTTGGATTTTTCCCTTTCTTCTTTTTTTTCTCTCTCTTTTTTCTGGCTTATGGCTCAGTTTTGAGCGAAGGTTTACATTTTTCAAAAATTTGCCTCCAGCCCGCCTTGATCTTCTAGCGCGAGTTCATCGACTCAAAAAAAAAAAAAAAGAAAAGAAAAAAAAGAAAAAACTCGTTGGCGTTTTCTTTCCTTTTTTTTTTTTTTTTTTTTTTTTTTTTTTTTTAATATTTTCAAGGGGGAGGAGATTTTCCACAAGAAAAGGTTGTTTTCATGTTCGGGATTCAGGAAAGCATCCAACGGAGTGGCAGCAGCATGAAGGAAGAGCCGCTGGGCAGCGGCATGAACGCGGTGCGGACGTGGATGCAGGGCGCCGGGGTGCTGGACGCCAACACGGCGGCGCAGAGGTGGGTACCGCGCGGGAGCGGGGCGGCTCGGGGCTGCTGGGCCGGGCCGGGCTGCGCTGGTGCCTCCGCCGCGCTCCGCTCCGCTGCCCGGGGCTCAGCGCTCCCGGCTGTGCTGCTTTCGCCGCCCAAGGCCGGAGAACCGGGAACGGCCTGCGAGCAGCTCACGCCTTGTCGGCGCTTTCCCCTGCTTCGTCTGCGACTGTTTTCATTTCGTTTTAACCCAGAAGAGGCGTCTGGCCAGCTTGATGCTGGAGATCTGTTTTTATGAGATCGCTCTTTCGTTCCTGGCTGGCTTCATTTTTTTTCTTTCTTTCCGTGTTCTCCTTTTCTTTCTTTCTTCTGTCCCCTTTCCTTTTCTTTCTTCAGTTCTCTTTTTTCCTTGCTTACTTTATTTTCTTTTATTCTCTCTCCTCCCTTCCCTCCTCCTCTCTCCATTCCTTTCTTCTCCTTAATTCCCTTCTGTCCTTTCCCTCTTTGCCTTCATCCCTCCTTTTCTCCCTTCCACCTTTCCTTCCTCTTCTTTCTCCATGCTTCCCTCCCCTCTCCTTGCCTTACCTCTCTGTCTCTTCTGTTTTCTCTCCCCATTTCTCCCTGGAGTCTTCTCTTATTTCTCCTATCTGGCTCACCCTCCCTCTCTCTAGCTTCGGTTTTTCCTCGGTCCATCCGTAGAATAGCGACTCCCCACTTTAATCCTGACATCCCCTGGAGGTCCTCCCCACCCCCTGTCAGCGTGGCCTCTTCCAGCCGCCCCTCTCCCCCGGAAGCGCCCTGGCTGCTGGCCGCCGTGGCCTGGAGCCCCTGCCCTCCGAGGCTGACTTGAGGAACTTTCCTGGGCACACCCCGGACCCTTTCCAGAAGCTCCTGGTCCCCAGTGAGAAATGGTCCCTTGTCAATTCCTGGCCAGCTGCTGGGCTGAAGGCAGTGGGAAATCTGGCGGCCCCAGGCCCTGTCGGACTGAGAGAGCGCGGAAGGGGAAGAAGGAAAATGAGTAATTACATCATCTGCAGCTTCCCGGGGCTGGAGACAAGTGTCCCCAGCACTGTTCCCATCTCCGCTCCGCAAAAGGTTGGGGGTGGCCGGTAGTGAGAGTGAATCGGGTAACTGGGCTGGAAGCGAAAGTGAGTGTGCGCGGCGCGCGCGTTCGTGCCTGTCCGTGCCCCTGCGCGCCCCTGTAGGGCAGGTCGGCTGTCAGAGGCCACCGGCGCCCGGCGCCCGACTCTCAGCTTCCCGCAGCCCCGGCCCTTAGGATTCCAGGAATGAGTACGAGGATTTCGGGAGAACAGCGAAACTTTGTCGACACGGGTCCTTTCAAAACACCCCAGTTCCTACTCCCACAGCGACCAGCCCGACAGCTGAGTCGCATCCTGGGACCCTTCACCAGCTGGGTTTGGGGTGGAAATTGAGCTCCGAGGCCGGGCGCACGCTGTCGCCCGGGGCGCGGGCGTTTTCCCGGAGGGCAGCTGCCGCCGGAGCAGCCGAGCGCGTCCTCGTCCGGGCCCACCTGCCCGAACCTCAGCCGCGAGATTCAAAGCGGCAGCGCGCCCTTTCCCCGGCGCCCTTCCCCCAAGTTGTGAACCTTGGGCTTTTTTCTCTGAACCTACTAGTTTCAGCACTCCCGTCTCCACTTTTCTTCCTCCCCATGCAGCGCGCTTCACGTCCGAGCGAAAGCTTGATGGAGCTTCGTCTCCCGCACAAAACCCAAACAAAACTTTCACACCTCTTTGGCATGCTCTGAGGACGCGCTCGTCCTCGTTCTGGTCCCGGCGGGGAGACCCGCAAGTGCAGGGGGTAGGAGTCTGGTCCTTGGCTGCGCCGGGAGCGCCTGAGGGGTGGTGAAGGGCGCCCACTGTATGTCTCGGGGGCAGAGGAGGTGGGTGTTTGAGGGGTCGCTCTTATGTTCTGGGTGACAAGGGAGGCGCGGGTGGCGTCCGGCTTAGCCGTCTAACTCTGAATCTTTGGCCACAGCGGGGTGGGTCTGGCCCGGGCTCACTTTGAGAAGCAGCCGCCTTCCAATCTTCGGAAATCCAACTTCTTCCACTTCGTCCTGGCCCTCTACGACAGACAGGGCCAGCCTGTGGAGATCGAGAGGACAGCCTTTGTGGGGTTCGTGGAGAAGGAAAAAGTAAGTGGGCGCAGTGCCGCCTGCCTCCCCGTGTCCCCGGCTGGGGAGGAGGCGGCCCGGGCAACCGCACCCGACCGCCCTGGAGGCGAGCTCCTCTGAGTGCAAAGCGTTCCTAACACACTCCCCCGGGGGTCCCCCAGGCCACTTCCCGTCCCGGACGAAGCTGGGCTTCCGGTCCACGGGGTCCTGCTCCAAAAAAGTTCCAGTGGAGCCCCCAGAGCTGGAGCCAGGTGAGCCCGGCTTCACAGTCCAGAGCATTAGGCGCCTGGGACAAACGCAACCCTGGACTAGAGACCACGCAGCGCCTGCCTGAGGGCACAGGCCCGAGGCTCAGGCCCTGGGACAGGATTACCAGGGAGCCTTGCGGAATTTTCTGGAAAGGGAGACAGAGCTGTGTGGGATGGGGGTGGAGGAGGGATCACAGTTTGCCCTACTGTCTGTGGCTACCAGGCTGGCTGGCTCACCCACTAGGGGTCCAGGCTGGGGAAAGTTGCCCCCAAATTGGTCCACTTGCTCACTCGACCTCTCTCCTGCGTCTCCTGTGTCTCCGCGTCCTGCTGCAAACTAGGAAGCCAACAGCGAGAAGACCAATAACGGGATTCACTACCGGCTGCAGCTCCTTTACAGCAATGGTGAGGCTCCCCTGGGGTCTGTGCCTGCACTCTGGGGCTCTGGGTCAGGGCTGGGGGTCAGGCAGCTCCAAGTGGACAAAAGCCCCCAGCGAAGCCCAGTCACCGGCTTTGCTCCAGGTGAGCCGGCCTCTTAAGTTTCCTCCTGAGAAGTTTCACCTTTGGAGCACGAGCCGCCCAGGGAGGTTCTGTGGGTCCAGCGTGTACTTGAGGCCAGGTGTGGTGCCTCAGCTCTTCCTGGGCCACTTTCATCCATTCTCCCCTTCCAGAGGCCTGTTCTTTCCTCTTAGCCCAAATACCAGGCCCAAAGCCCCTTAGGCTCAGGGGATGCAGAGGGACTGCTGTCCACGAAGCAAGAGCAGCCAGGTAGGGTCAGGTCCCATTCCTGGCTGCCCAGCCTGCAGCCTGGCTTGCAAGAGGCCAGGGCTCCTCTCTGGGCAGTGGGCGCGGGAGGTCCTGGTGCGCCTTCCAGGACAGTTGGAGTTCGGTTTCTTGTGTGTAGTAACTGTGATCGGTTTTGTCTAGATGATCCTTTCCCAGCTGATCCCCTCTCACCTATTTCTCCTCCGTGTCCTCATTTTCCCCTCTAGGGATAAGGACAGAGCAAGATTTCTACGTGCGCCTCATTGACTCCATGACAAAACAAGTAAGTTTCTTAATTCTACCCGCGCGCAGTTGGGTGACATTCAGGTCATGAGATTCGGGAGAGTCGTGAAGCTCCGTGCTGCACGCAGAAGGGCTGGAACTCAAACTCTGAAAGCCAGGGTGGACCTCGGACCAAGCTCCCAGCGTGGCTTTCCAGGCGGGTCACGCACTTGCGCCTCCGCGTGGGCAGGATGGCTCGAGGGCTCTGGGGCTCCAAGGGAAACTCAGGCCCTGTGAGCCAAGCCCCTGGGTGATGAGGGAAGGCAGTAGGGCTGAACTTCCTCTTCCTTGGCTGGAGCGCAAGCGGGCGCAGAAGGTGCCCAGGGACCCCTGAGCGGCAAGAACTAAACTTCTGAAACTGGAGCCAGCCGGGGCCTAACCCAGAAAGCCCAGAGCAGAGGAGCCAGAGGGTGGGGGCCTAGGCTAGGCAGCTTCCCCAGGAATGGGGAGATGGGTGGAGAGCGGAGGGCGCAAATGATCACTCCACATATTTTTTTAAAAAGGGGGTGCTGGTGGAGGGTATTGTTGGAATAGGGAGCAACAATTGTTAGAGAATATTTTGCAAAAAAATCCTCTGGCTCTTGCCTCCAAGTTTGGCAGGAAGCCAGGCAGCATGAGTGAGCTTGTGGTCTTAAAGGTACATAGACAGCGTTTCCTTAGGGTGTCAGGC